ATGATGCAAATGAATAGACAAGAACTCCTCAGTTAAGTTCCTAAGAAAAGGAAAAAGATCCGATGCCCAGTGTTACTAATTAAACATTGGACTTATTACTTATCTCTTAGCCAAAGGGATTTGAGTTGTGCTGTAATAAAAGACACAGATAAATAAAATTATTTATCTTTATCTTAGTATAACTGTGAGGTATTAAATAAAAAAGGGATAAAACATCAAATCATTTTCTGCAGTAACCACTGAATCCCAATGTACTGGTAGATAGTAAGGATGGTACTCATTAATATTCATCTCTAAATTTTTTACTATGCTTAATACAGCACTTTGGTCAATAAGACTTTGCTGTTGAAACCTAAGATCAGGTTATCATTTTATCACTATATCCCTCTCTTCTCTGCAGTAAAAAAGAAACTAGATATTTGATTAGCCCCATTGTTTATGTGTATCTGGAATAGAGCTGAGTATTCTAGCTCTCTATATAAACAGAGAATTTGCAGGGGATAAATCTAGTTACTTCATCTTATGGAAAGTAGTATTCATCAGAGTTTCCCCCCACCCCATGTTTACTGAAGTATAACTGGAATTTTTTAATCTGCATATAATTATTATATATAATATATGTGAGTTTGCACATATGTATATACTTGTGTTACTATCACCACAATCCAGGTAATAAAAATATTCATCACCTCTAAAAGTTTCCTTGTATCCCTTTGTGGTATTTTTTTTTTTTCTTTAGTAGTAAGACCACTGAACATACTAGATCCATGCACTTAACAAATGTTTAAGTACACACAATACCTTACCTTAATTATAGCCGCTATATTATAGAGCAGATCTATGGGCAGTGTTGTACTGCAGATCTCTGGAATTTACTAATCTTGTATGACTATAACATTATACCTGGTGAACGATAACACCTCATGCCTCCCTCACTCCATCATTCCACTGTCTACATACTGTTATCTACTTCTACACTTTTGACTATTTTAGATGCTTTTTTTTTTTTTTTTTTTTGGCGGTACGCGGGCCTCTCACTGTTGTGGCCTCTCCCGTTGCGGAGCACAGGCTCCAGACGCGCAGGCTCCGGACGCGCAGGCTCAGTGGCCATGGCTCACGGGCCCAGCTGCTCCGTGGCATGTGGGATCTTCCCGGATGGGGCACGAACCCGTGTCCCCTGCATCAGCAGGCGGACTCTCAACCACTGCACCACCAAGGAAGCCCTTAGATGCCTTTTATAAGAGAAATTATGTATAAGAGATACCCTTCTGTGAATGACTTATTTCACTTAGCATAATGTCTTCTAGGTCCATCCATGTTCTTGCAAATGGTAGGATTTCCTTCTCTTTTAAAGCTGAGTAATATTCCATTGTATGCATATACCACATTTTCTTTATTCATTCATCTGTTGATGGACATTTGGGTGGTTTCTGTATCTTTGCTATTGTGAATAATGCTGCAGTGAACATAAGATCTCTTCAAGATCCTGATTTTAATTCTTCTGGATATATACCCAGAAATGAGATTACTGGATCATATGGTAGTTCTATCTTTCATTTTCTGAGGAACCTCCATACTGTTTTCCACAGTGGCTGTACCACTATGTCTTTCACCCCTTGGTTATGTTTATTTTTAAGTATTTTATTCTTAGAAGTTGCAAATGTGATTATTTTCCTAATTTCCTTTTTTTGGAGTAGTTCATTATTGGTGTATAGAAATGCAACTGATTTTTATATGTTAATTTTGTATCCTACAAATTTACTGAATTCATTTATTAGTTCTAACAGTTTTTTGGTGGAGTCTTTAGTGTTTTTTACGTATAAGATCATGTCATCTGCAGAGATAATTTTACATTTTTCTTTCTGATTTGGATGCCTTTTATTTATTTATTTTTTCTTGCCTAACTGTTCTGGGTAGGACTTATAGTACTATATTGAGTAGAAGTGGTGAGAGTGGGCATCCTTGCCTTATACAGATCTTAGAGAAAAAGCTTTCAGCTTTTCACCATTCAGTGTGATATTAGCTGTGGCCTTTTCACATACAGCCTTTATTGTGTTGAGGTAAATTCCTTCTCCACCTAATTTATTGAGAGTTTTTATCATGAAAGGGTGTTGAATTCTGTCAAATGCTTTTTCTATATACATTGAGATAATTATGTGATTTTTGTCCTTTTGTGATATAACACATTAATGTGGTATATCACATTGACTAATATGCATATATAGAACTATTCTTGCTTTCCAGGGATAAATTCCACTTGGTCATGGTGTGTAATCCTTTTAATGTGCTGTTGAATTCAGTTTACTAATATTTTCTAGAGGATTTTTGCTTCCATGTTCATCAGGGATATTGGTCTGTAGTTCTCTCTCTTTTTTTTGGCCACACTGCATGGCTTGCAGGATCTTAGTTCCCTGACCAGGGATCGAACCCAGGCCCATGGCAGTGAAAGTGCCGAGTCCTAACCCCTGGACTACCAAGGAACTCCCAGTTCTTTTTTACGATGTCTTTGTCTGGCTTTGGTATTATGGTGATGCTGGCCTCATAAAATGAGTTCAGAAGTGTTCCCTATTCTCCTACCTTTCAGAATAATTCTTCTTAAAATTTTTGGTAAAAATCACATGTGAAGCTCTCTGGACATGGGCTTTTTTGGCTGGGAGGTTCTTGATTACTGATTCAATCTCCTTATTGTTATTGATCTGTTCAGGCTTTTTATTTCCTCTTGATTCAGTGTCAGTACATTGTATATTTCTAGGAATTTATCCATTTCTTCTATGTTCTCCAATTTGTTGGCAGATGGTTTATAACGGTCCCTTATGATCTTTTTTACTTCTGTGTTATCTGTTGTGATGTCTTCTCTTTCATTTATAATTTTATTTCAGTCTTCTCTCTTTTTCTCTTAGTTTAGCTAAAGTTTTGTCAATTTTCAAAACAGTTTTATCTCTTCAGAGAAGCAACTCTTGGTTTTGTTGAGTTTTTCTATTCTCTATTTCATTTATTTCTGCTGTAATTGTTATCACTTCCTTTGTTCTGATAACTTTGGGCTTGGTTTGTTCTGTTTTATAGTTCATTAAGGTGTAAAGTTAGGATGTTTGACTCTTTTTAAACATAGGGATTTTTCACTATAAACTTCCCTCTTAGTGCTGCTTTTGCTGTATCACGTAAGTTTAGGTATGCTGTGTTTTCATTTTAGTTTTTCTTGAGAAATTTTCTAATTTCCCTTTTATTTTTGTCTTTGACCCAATGGTTGTTCAAGACTGTGTTGTTTGATTTCCATGCATTTGTGAGTTTTTCTGGTTTCCGTTTGTTATTGATTTCTAGTTGTATTCAGTTGTGGTCAGAAAGGAATGATTTCAGTCTTCTTAAATTTCTCAAGACTTGTTTTATGACCTTACATGTGATTTACCCTAGAGAATGCTCCATTTGTGTTTGTAAGAAAAAAAACTCTGTGTCTCCTCTCAAAACTACTCAATACTTCACTTAGGGCCACCAAATGTGTAGGTTTTTCCTACACAAACCAATTCTTCAATTCTCAGTGGACATTAACTGGGTGTCCTAACAATTCAGTTCAATTCAGAAACTATCTACCTAGGTTAGCATCAGATCTCACAGGTTAAGGGTTCAGTCCCACAAGACTGTGCTGCTTTCCTTCCCCCACCTTAAATTCCGGTCCAGGTTGTCACCTGTGCTTCTGATAAAACAGCTATAGAGTAGCTCAGAGATCTCAGGAAAATAGTTTACTTACTAGATTACTAGTTTATTATAAAATGATCCAACTTGGGAACAGCCCGATGGAAGAGATGATCAGGGCAAGGTATATGGGGAAGGGGCATGGAGCTTCCATGCCCTCTCTCAGCACCTCCAAGTGTTCACCAACCTGGAAGCTCTCTCAATCACATAGTTTAGGATTTTTATGGAGGCTTCATTATGTAGGTGTAATTGATGAAATCAGTGGCCATTGATGGTTAAACTCAATTTTCAGCCTCTCTCCCCTCTCTGGAGGTTGAGGGTGGAGCTGAAAGTTACAACCCTTTAATTAACCATATAGTTAGCTCCCCTGGCAACCAGGCTCCCATCCTGTGGTTATCTAGGGGCTTTCCAAAAATCACCTCATTAACATAAACTCAGATGTAGTTGAAAGGGGCTTGTTATGAATAACAAAAGATACTACTTTCATCTTTATTACTCTGAAACTATTATAGGAACTGGGGATAAAAGAGCAAATATTTTAACAAAAGATGTTCCCATTGCTCTTATTAATTAAGAAATTAGAAGAATTTTAGGAGCTCTGTCCTAGAAATGAACCAAATACATATTTTAAAATTATAAATCACAATATCACAGTGATTAAAAAAATGTGTTTTCTGCTGTTATTGGTAGAATGTTCTACATACATCTGTTAGGCCCATTTGGTCTATAGTCATGAGGGGTTTTTTTTTTGTTTTTAAACTAATGTGTTGTAGTGTGGCTCTCATGAATTCTACCCAAATAGAAGAAATGTGTTAAGTGTTAATGATGTAGGAAACTCAACTAATTTTCCCAAAGACAAAATTTCATAAATTAATGTTAAGAAAAGTAGTATATATATATATATTTGCCCTTTGGAATGCTAAAATGTTTGGGAAGCAATATTGATTAGGAAATACCTAATCAACTGGTTTTCAACTTTTTAAGATAAGATGAGTGAGGAATTCAGCAGTCTTCAAGAATAAGAATAGTGTATGAGTAATAGTAGATGCTTGTGTTTTCCCAGGCCAGGGCAAAATGGAACACATTCAAATCACAAAAAACAAAGATTTAAGTTTAGATACAAGAATGGTTTTATATTTGAGTGATGGACAAGACTACTTTCCAAAGGATAGTGTCATTTCTGGACTACTGAAAAGAAAAAGGCTCATCTTTCTGCTGTAGTTTTGAGGGAAGAAAATTGGCATACATAGCTACCAAAAGAGGTAATTTTCTTTTACTGTGATTCTATCTAACATGGGTACAGTAATACTCACCAAATGCTGTCCAATGTACTAAAAAGAAGTACATTATAGCCTAATCCACTCTGTAACTTCTTGGGGTCTGTTTTCATTACATGAAGAATTATATCCACTCCTTCAGTTCCAAAAATTTCCTAAGAGATTTATTTAAAAGTATTTCTTGAAATAAATAAATAATCCTTTCCTTTCCCATTGCATCCTGTCCCCTAAAAGTTTTTCTACCAGAAAAATACAACAACATTTTTAGGAAAGTAGTACTGTAATACAATTTTTCTTTTTTAAATTTGTACTCACTTGTTCTCAGGAATTTAAGACAAATTACTGTAAAGCTAGTCATTTTAGAGAGGATATCAGTCAACATGCAGCTTAATGCCCCTTTATATTTTTTTCCCTTTCTCTTTCTCTAAAAAAAAGTAAACCATAAGACTTATCCCATGGTTTTCTTCCACATTGTAATGAATGTAATCTAACATCATGTCAGATGAGTACTAGATAGCAACAACTAATTTAAGGGGTTAAAATTCTATCATGGAAGATTTTCCAATGTTCCCAAGAGAGAAATAAATTTATAAATAGCAGTTAAAACCTTTAATAATTTATGTGATGCTTTCACCAATTAATATTTGTCTGTTACCAAGTACCTTTCCTATTGTCTTGTCGTTCAGTTCTGGTTCCCAGTAAGCAAGACTATGAGTATTTTCCAGAAGAACACAGGCGCAGGGTGACAGAATACAAGAAGTTCTACGAAAGCTTGGAGCTAAGTATGTGTTTACTGTTCTTTTTGCCTCTCCCTCAAATTGCTCTATTGAAACCTTCATAATTTTTAATTTTTATCTTTCCAAATCTATGTCTTGCTATTTAAGTTATTAATCTCTGAGACTTAGAGTTTGCTATGGCATTAAAAAGATCAAAGGGAATTAAGCTCTTTTTCTAACTTTTAATTTTAGGTATGAACCGAATTCAAACCCAAAACATCATTTATAATGGTACAGCCTCTCTGGAAAACTATTTGCCAGTTTCTTCAAAACATACACCTACCTTATGATCCATTAGTTGCACTCCTAGGTATTTATCCAAGAGAAATGAAAGCATTATGTCCACAAAAAGACTAGTACAAGAATGTTAATTAAAGTTTTAAACATAGTAGTCCCAAATGGAATCAACCTAAGTGTTTATCAATAAGGGAATAGAGAAACAAATTTTGTTGTATTCATACAATACTATTCAGCAATAAAAAGGAATGAATTATTGATACATGCAACAACATGGATATATTTCAGAAATATGGTGCTGGCTCAACTAATAGAGTAAATAATTATGTGATTCCATTCATATAAAGTTAAAAAAATAGGCAAAACTAATTTATGGGAATAGAAATCAGAAAAGTGGTTGCCTGTAGGCAAGTGGGGGCATGGCTGCTAAGCGGCATGAAAGAATTTTACAGGGAGATAAAAATATTCTATATTTAGGGCTTCCCTGGTGGCGCAGTGGTTGAGAGTCCGCCTGCCGATGCAGGGGACACAGGTTCGTGCCCTGGTCCAGGAAGATCCCACATGCCGCAGAGTGGCTAGGCCCATGAGCCATGGCCCCTGAGCCTGTGCGTCTGGAGCCTGTGCTCCACAACGGGAGAGGCCACAACAGTGAGAGGCCCGCGTACCGGAAAAAAAAAAAAAAAATTCTATATTTTAATTGTGATATTGGTTAAATGGATGTATATATTTGTCAAAACCTATCAAACTATATACTTAAGATCTATATACTTTACTGTATGTAATTATACTCTTAAAAAAGAATATTAAATCTTCGTAAGATTAAAAAGACACCAATATTTATGGACATTTACTAAGGAAAAGTTCATAGTGTTATGTGATTGAGAGATCTAAACAAAACTTTGATTCACAGGCATACATACCTTCCTAGGAATATGATGTTCACAAAGACCAGATAAAATAAGTAAAATATCAGATTGAATTTCCAAAAGAATGGCCTCTTCCTTATCATTATACTTGCTTATTATATTTTTAAAGATTCCTGATTTGAAAAATGTTAAAGAATGTAAAGTTATTGAACATTGTATTTTTATTTTGATCAATTACTGTTCTGAAATTCTTTCTTATAAAATTTCAACTAGAAAAACTACTTTTAAAAGGGCTATTTTCATTGTATGGTTTCCTAGAAGCTGTAGACAGAAGATGATAAATGGATTCGTTGGGGTCTCAGTACAATCAGTAGCCCCATATATATAGAATTTCTAGTACATAATTAATGGCATGTCATTAAAAGAAGCCCTTAACAACCTGATACTTCACCAAGCAAACAAAACTGTTTGAAAATATGCAGTTTCATGAGGCAAAGATGTGTGCCTTTGCAAATATATGACCAAAATGCCTGATCATAGCTTGCCTCATCTCTTCTTGCCCTTGTGGTTAACAGGGTCAATCTTAGGCAAAGGTGGAAGACATCCCTAAGTACGTTTTCTATTCCTGTTACTTCTTTCTGCATCGTCTCCTTATGTCCACTCGAAGGCATCTTCAACAACTTAGGTAGCAATATTCCCATGTTCTTTAAAAGCTCTCCTTCCAATCAAAATTTTAAAAGACTTGAAAATAGCCATTTACCCTGATGGAATGTCATTCACAATAAAATTTTGCCTCAAAAAAGGACTTTTCCTTTAAGCTTTGTATAAGGAACAAAAGTCATTTTTCCTCAGTTACTAAGGGATCACTGGCATTAGCAGGAAGGTGTGGAGCTATGTTTCAAAGTAAAAGGGCCATGGAAATCACAGCCTATTTCCACTGTTGGCTCTGAAGGGACAATTCTTGGTCCTGTTAGGATGAATTACAGCAGGTGAAGGATCAGAGGCTAGGAAGGCTAGGTGAGCATGCTGGAGACCAGGGCAGAGGCATGCCATGGACAGAGGGCATATGCTCCCTTATTAGGACACCTTCTAGGAATCCAACCTGGCTGGCCTTGCATCTGCTTCTCCTTTCTAGATTATCTCCTCTTCTTCCTACCTGTGTACAGGGATGTCACTTTCCCTGTTGTCTGTAATAAATGTTATGTTAATACTGAATTATTTTCTTAATATTTCGGTATCCTTTAACTCCCTACATTTACCTTCTCCTTGCTCTATTCTAACCATTGGATATATTTTTCAGATTTCCTCTTTCTAAAATAGCATTGCACATATAACTTTCCTAATCCAAACCACTAATAGCTCCCCATGCTTAAAGCGAATGAAGTTCAAACTCTATTATGGTATGCCATTCAAAACTCTTTCTAGCTTGGCCTCTGACTAGACAATTAACTTTATCTCATATTATTTGTCTTCATAAAACTTTGACTCCACTTAAGCTAGCTCTGAACACATCATCATGTATATTTTGGCTTCATGTCTCTGTTTATGCTGTCCCCTTGCTTGAAAGACCATCTCTCTCTCTCTCTCTTTTTTTTTCCTCTTGAAACCAGCCTTACCCTCACACCCTAACTCATAAAGATTCTTGTTAAGATTGCCCAGCATTGAAAACTACCCTGTGGCATTTACTCTCTGTATTACTCACTAGGTGCCTTACTAACAGTGCAGGGTAATGCATGCAATCTTTCTATGACATACATCTTTCCTTTTGTTTTCATTAAGGCAAGGTCCTGAGAGTTCTGTTCTATACATGTTTATGACACCAGTGCCTACACAACAGGTGTACAAACATTTACATTTACAGTGCGATTACTATTTGTTGAGCTTATTTCTACTATAGAGCCTCTGTTAGACTCTGTAAGAGAAGGTTCCTGCCCCTAGGAACTCACATAATAAAGATCAGCTTCTTTAAAGTTAAAGGGAAAGGTCCTGAGAAGAAAAGAACCCTTGCTATTTGCTTTCCCTTCCCCACTTGCTACCAGGTAAGATTAAGACTTCTTCTTGGATATATGGAAAATTGTATTCATCCATTTAGGCTGGGGCCTTCACACTGAGTTCTGTATCATGAAATGTGCACAGAAGTGATAAAATCTACTTTCAGGTTTGGTCATCCCCCAGTAAACTCATCAAGAAAGTGAATGTTTTTGCCTAGCCCCCTTTTCAGTATCCTCATTTTGCTTACTAGTATTATTATTAGAGGGCACCACCCCAATCCACTAATGATGGAAGAGCAGGCACTGAACAGGTAGAAGAGTTTTTGAGTAAGCATTTGTAATGAATTGACATCCAGCAAATTATATCACCTTCTCATAAGGCAGTCATTGAACATGGATATGACAAATATAGCTCTTACTTCTCAAAGTCAGGAAAGATTAGGGCCAGAAAACTATTTATTTTTTAAATAACAAAAGGTAGAAAGCTTTTGCTTAGGGGTTCTGAATTTTACACTGAGCTCGCATGTATGTATGTTGGAGATAAAGTGACTTAGCACAGTCAACTCTTTAAGCTGAAAATTAAGGATATCCTGATATTTCACATCAGAAAACCTATGTACATTTCTGTATACACCAGTGTACCAGTGTTCTGGTAATGTCAAATGCACTGGAAAATGTAATGTTATCCTCTTTTAAAATGACTCCAAAAGGCCTGGCCAAAAAGTGGTGATCTTACTCCTAGAAGAGTGAAATATAACACTAGCCCATTAAAAAAAAAAAAAAAGATAAAGATAATCCTAAATGAAATGGTATCTGAATTAAGTAAACAAATGTTTAAAGGATAAGTGATCATGATGTTTCAGTAAAGACAAACTAATTTATAGCAACAGTATGAAACAAAAATCAAGAAAATATTCAGGAGTTTGTCAGATATAGGAAAAAATAAATGTGCAGAAAAACATTTCAAACAAAAGTTCTAATTTATAAACATTCTACTTTCATCAGGACACAAACATGTTATGTTTTTACCTATCAGTTGCTGAATTGCTCTCTTTTCACAAAGATCCTTGTTTATGGTCTCATGCTCAAGGTAGACCATGGCTCTCAAGAGTCTTAAACTGTAACGCATCTGGGCAAACTTGTTTCCACGGCCACCTGTACCATGAAAACTGTTCCCATGACTAAAGAAGGAATCTGTAGAGAAATATTAATAGTTACTTTACATCAAGAAATTTAGATTAGACATCTTTTATATCTATATAAGTTTAAAGAGATGTTAAAATTTTTGTCATACTTTAGGGTTTTTTTTTTTTAGAGAAGTAAATATGATTCCATCCCCCTCCTCTTTCTATTTCCAGTACAGAAATATGTTTTTAAATTTTACTCAAATGTATGATTATTGTATGTATCTTCTGTAACTTGTTTCTGTTACTCAACGTTGTTTTTTTTTTTTTGCTGTACGCGGGCCTCTCACTGTTGTGGCCTCTCCCGCTATGGAGCACAGGCTCCGGACGCGCAGGCTCAGCGGCCATGGCTCACGGGCCTAGCCGCTCTGCGGCATGTGGGATCTTCCTGGACCGGGGCACGAACCCGTGTCCTGTGTATCGGCAGGCGGACTCTCAACCACTGCGCCACCAGGGAAGCCCTCAACGTTGTATTTTTAAAATTATTCACATTGTTACAAGTAGATCTAGGTCACTCAGTTTTAACTGCTTTCTACATCCAGTTTATAAATAACAGTTTATCCATTCACTAGTACAAATTGCTACAATGAACATTCTAGTTCATGTCCTCTTGTTCCCACTGAGAAGTGTTTTGCCTGTGACACCAGAATCATATACCCACATGGAATTTTATTAAAGTTGCCAAATTGTTCCCCAAAGTGGTTATATGGATACAATGTATAAGAAATAGATTTTTTCCCAATCTATTAAATGTGAAATGGTAGTTCATTGTTATCTTAATTTGCAGAGTGATTACATTTCTCTGATTACCAGTGGGGTTGAGTGTCTTTTAATTATTTTTGAAAATTTGAAATTTTCTCCAAAAATTTTGAAGAATTTTCTTGGCAATCTCTATTGTTTGCCTACTTCTCTACTGAGTTATTTTCTTTTTGATATGTAGGAGTTCTTTATGAACCTGAATTCTAATCGTTTATCAGTCAGAGTGGTGAGTAAATATCTTCCCTCAATTTATAGATTATCTTATTCAGATTTTGTAATACAGATATTTCTGTTTTACAGTACTTAATACATTTAATAATCTTTAATAATCTTTTTTATAGTTAAGCTCTTCTGTATTTAAAAAGTCTGTTTCTACCCTGTTATCATAAAGATAATTTCCCATGTTTTCTTCTAAGATTTTTACAGTTTAACTTTTTGCATTTAGGGCTTTAATTCATTTTGCAATTGACTTTTTTAAACAAGTTGAAAGGATCTAATTTTTATTTTTTCACATGGAGGGCCAACTGCCCGAGAACCAACCTTCTCTCATTGATTGGCAGTATCATCTCTGATGATGCCAACCTCCCATATATTCCATTCCACTGGTCTATGCCTGGTCAAGTACCATACAATTTTAATTACTATAGCTTTATGGTCAGTCTTGATAAATAACAAGGCAAGTTCTCTTTCTTCGTTATAATATGCTTTCTTTGAAAGGTTCTTTTAGAAGTAGCTTTTTGTTTAATGCTAAAAAAAAAAGTTCAAAATACTGTTCTCAGTAGTATGTATAAGTTTAGAAATGTGGATTCTGGAGCTAGACTGCCTGCATTAAATCACTTACTATGTGGCAAGGAACAAGTTATTTAACTTCTCTGAATTCTACCCACTGACCAACAGGGCTAATAATAGAACCTATAACTCCTAGATTTGTTGTGAGGCCTAAATGGTTTAATACTGCTGAGGGGGTTAAGGCCTATCACATAGTAGGTACTCAATAACTGTTAGCTATCAGACTTCTTCTTGTTAGGCAGCATTTCCTTTTTTTTGCCTTATAGACTTCTGTAAACATAAATAATATAAAGGAGAGACAGGAAAATTGTTTTATTTAATGCACAGTAATTTAACATGACTAAATTTAGTAACTCAGCATATTAAAAACTAGAGAATAAAAATAAGCTATAATTTTTTCTTCCTCATGGATGAGTGCTATTCTTGACCTAATGAAAATGTACCATACAAAAATTATTTCCAGAGCAAAGTTACTACCAGAGAAGAATACAGTATCTTACTTATAATTTTTTTAAAAAAAAGAATGTATTTCTTATTTCCCTTCTAAGAATTATGAGAATTGAAATGAAATATTCATACAAATTGGGGCTCTGCTAACTTGGCAGACTACATGTGGCTAGAGATCTAGATCTGAAGCTCCATGAAGGTATGGACTTCATTTATTTTGAACATAAATGTTTCGTTAGTAGCTAAAACAATATATGGTTACTAGTAGGCATTCAATAAATATTTGTTGAATGATTAATTAAAATATTACAGGACAGTATAATTATTGGATGGGCCTAATATAAAAATTTAAATCAGTTTATATGAATGATTAATTTTACTGAAAGGTATGCATCAACTATGCTAACATTTACTAATGTCTGACTATAAATGAAATCTCAGGCTTTTTTCCTTAAAACACCATTTAAACACATTAAGATCACAGAAGGCCAGATCTACTAGTTCTCCTTTTAATTGTATTTCTTTTTCTACACCGCCATTCAGTTGAAATATGTAGATTAGAATTTTGACAGGAATCTGAAAGGCCACTTACCTTCACTGTCACACCATTCTAAAAATGCAAGGACGTGAGCATTTCCCTGATACAACATGTACTCGTCTATTAAAAAAGGAGCCACTGATGACAAAGTGGCAATTGCGTGCAGTTGTAATTCTTCATACTGTGCTGCAGACCATTCAACTATTTTGTGTTTCTCAGGCTTTTTAACATAGGTAAACAAAGCCAAAATAACTTTGCCATCAATTAATAGCTATGAGAAAGGGCAAAAAGTACTATGTTAGAAACATAATTAAAACAATTTTATTTAATATAAGAAAATTTAATAAAATATTTCCAATTTGATGTGTTATTGATGATCATTTCAAAATACTTTCTTCCTAAAGATTCCAAGCTATGTTAAGTACCAGAAATTAAAAAAACCCAAAACCAAACTCACTAATAACAACAGTTCACTATGATCCCCCTTTCTGGGATATACACTCTATGGCTGACAATAATATAAAATAAGTATTAGTTTTTTTAATCTATGCTGCTTATATATGCAGTTTACCTCCCGCTTACGATAAAACCACAGGAGTCGAAAATTTAGAGCAAATAAACTGGTGGTTATTTCTGTCTTCCTTACTTTTGTTTCTTAAAGGAAACATTTCAGAGACTCAATTGTATATATACTTTAAGAAGTCAATTTTGTCTGAAGTTATGATAATAGACTATGGCTATTTTTAAGCATAGGCAACAGAACTTATACAAATACTCTATCCAGTGAATACCAGTCAGGTCACAAGCCATAGTTAATTACACGCCAAGAATTTTAAAACTGTACTGAATCCATGATGTCAATAAAAATAAAACAAAAATGCAAAGCTATTATAATATGACAATCAAGTTAATATTATAGCTGATTCTGATTGATATATATTTTATGGTTCACAAGATAGTAACACACCATGTGCTATATTCTATTCAATTTTCTTTTCATCTGGCATTATTCTACAAAGATTTTTTTCACAATAAATCTTTGAATTTTTCTAAATTTTCTACTATTCCACATGGAAAGAGCACAAGATTTAGAACTGAGAAAACAAGAATAACAATTAGTTCTAGCACTGCTGTAAGTAGTAAGTGGATAATTTTTTTGAAATACTCTGTGAACTGCATATAACAGTACACGTATTCATTATCACTACCATTACTGAGCCACAAACACAAACATATGACAGAAAAAAAATTAGTTGATTCCATTGCTCACATAGTGCTTTAAGAAGCTTATCAGTCTTTGTGCCATTCGACTTTGTTGTCAAATAAAATTGGTTTATAAACTATAGTGTAAATGTTCTTATCTTTGTATCTGTCATTTTAATAGTTATATAGTACGCCACTATAATAATAAACCATATTCTATTGAATGATTTTCTATATTGCATTTCAGAAAATACATTTAGCTTCTATGGAGTGTACATTTTTGATATGAATAATAAAGTTATAACTGTAAAGACAGTTTTTTTCTGAGCATTTTTTAGTATATGCTTTAAAGTGGCATTACCAAAAAAAATTGTTTTTAGCTCTTTTAATCCTCATAATAATTCCATGAGATAGGTGTTTTCCCCACTTTGAAGTTGAGATAACTGGAATTTAGAGACTCTAAACTATGTATTCAAGATCACATTGCTAGAAAGCGACAGCACTGGATTCCACCTGACTAAAGCCTTAACCACCATATTATACCACATTTATATTATCACTAATGAAATTGATAGAATGAATCCTCCCTTGGAACTTGAAAGAGTTTTAAGACTAAAATGAAATTTCAATTAATGCAGTAATAACTAAACTAATGGAATTGTTAGTAAGTAGTATATTTTTTTCTGTTGCTTTATAGTTTACAAAGCCTTTATCTCAGTCTCACAACAGAAGGAGGAACTGAGCCTCAGAAAGTTTAGGTGACTTTGCCAAGGCCATACAGCTAGTAGGCAATAAGACAGAAGTGAAATTCATTTCCAGTGCTCTTCAAATTACACCATGCTTTATGTAGGATATAAAGTATTAAGATAATTCATGGGTAATAAAAATATGTACATAAGGAGGTTAGATTTGTGTGGAGAAAAAGCAGGTTCATACAGTTTGAGATGGGCAGCATAGAGATGAGCAATTTCCTCCAGCATTAAAATCATCCCTCATTACTATGGTCAAAGATAGACTATTAGGCTGGGTGGGCCTATATGGATTTTCTTTCAGTTTATGTTCTCTTATTCAGGAGCTCTAAATATATAAATAAATCTCCACAGTTTTCCTGCTTTTCCTTGGTTTATGTGGTTTAAATTTAGGTAAATTCACTGTTCATTAATAGATAAGAATTTTGAAAAAGTGAAATTCCAGTGAATACGAATTTGTTACCTTCTACGGTAAATATATGGGCTGATGAAAGATTTGCAGCCGTGGCTTTTAAAAAGTTATACTACAAAGTGAGATAATTTTAATTTTTATTTTGATTACTTTTTACCTGTATAGTAGATAAATCTTTACAAAAGGTCACAATTATATTGAATAGCAATTTCTTCAACTCAAAATCTTCATAGGAATTAGAAAACTTAAGACCTTTCACCAAAGGATTTTGGCTTTTAACTGTGAGAGGGGAAAAAAAAGGCAGAGTAAAATAAAAGCTGAAATGATGTATGACTCATTAAGATGATTATAAGTTGAAAGTTTTATGGTTTTTACCTTCATTAAATGTTGCAAATAATATCAAATCCCTGGTAAAGCCACACTCCTAATATAAATACACAAAATAAACAGAAGGATGAATTAATTATATGGAAATTAAGTTACAGATGCCCATATTTACTTAATATATAGGTATTTTTTTATCAGACTCTCCTTGTCATTCATCTGAGTTCATAAAGCACTAATAATAAGGGATGAAAGAAAGAAAATAAAAGCATATAGCCAGATAAACTTGTAATTTATTTAATGTTAAACTTACTTCTGTAGGTTCTAAAAAATATATTACATTATTCTATGAATATTTTACAAGATACTGTTTAAAATTTGGTAAGAACCCAAAACGTACTGCTAGAAGTAACTTATGTAATTCATTATCTATACCTTCAAGGGACGAAAGAAGGGAAGAAAACAGTTATTTTCAACAGCTTTTCTTCTTAAACACCCCCTGGCTCCCCACCCTGACCCCAACCACTCTCAAATATGTCAAAGGTTTGGTCAAGAGACAACAAACAATTCCTACTTAACATGAAAAGCCCTGAAGAATGACCAGAAAACATTTCAGCGTGAGGGAACTCATTCCTGACAGAGATATCCTAGTTGGACTTCGGACATTAGGGAGAATTTATAGGGACAAACCTTGGGCTTTTGAGTTGGCAACTATATATTCCTACTACCTTAAGATCCATATGGTTTCTTTAAAATGAGCAGATGTTATTCCTATTGACTCACATTCATGGAATTCACCTGAATGTTTGCAAGGATGCTAATGAGAATTTATTGACTGACCAGGGGCTTCCACAGAAACATAGGCCCATCTACACATTACAACCTTGACTAGGAAGCTATGCAGGACGTTTTCCCCATTTGCACAGTATAAATTCCTTGACTGTTTGGTGTTTTAAAAAATTTTATTGAAGTCTAGTTGATTTACAATGTTGTGTTAATTTCTGCTGTACAGCAAAGTGATTCAGTTATACATATATTCTTTTTCATATTCTTTTCCATTATGGTTTATCATAAGATACTGAATATAGTTCCCTGTGCTATACAGTAGGACCTTGCTGTTTATCCATCCTAGATATAATAGTTTGCATCTGCTCATCCCAAACTCCCAATCCTTCCCTCCCCCACCCCCACCCCCTTGGCAACCACAAGTCTGTTCTCTATATCTGTGAGTCTGTTTCTGTTTCATAGATATGTTCATTTGTGTTGTTTTTAGATTCCACATATAAGTGATATCATATGGTATTTGTCTTTCTCTGTGTGACTTAGTATGATAATCTCTAGGTCCATCCATGTTGCTGCAAATGGCATTATTTCATTCTTTTTATGGCTGAGTAGTATTCCATTGTATATATATACCACATCTTCTTTATCCATTCATCTGTTGATGTCTTGGCTATTGTAAATAGTGCTGCTATGAACACAGGGGTGCATGTATCTTTTCAAATTATAGCTTCGTCTGATATGTGCCCAGAAGTGGGATTGTTGGAGCATATGGCAACTCTATTTTTAGTTTTTTGAGGAACCTCCATACTGTTTTCCATAGTGGCTGCACCAATTTACATTCCCACCAACAGTGTAGGAGGGTTCCCTTTTCTCCACACCCCCTCCAGCATTTGTTTTTTGTAGACTTTTTTTTTTAATATTTATTTATTTTGGCTGCTCCGGGTCTTAATTGCAGCACGTGGGATCTTCACTGGGGCATGCTGGATCTTTAGTTGCGGCATGTGGGATCTTTTTAGTTGTGACATGCAGACCTCTTAGTTGTGGCATGCGAACTCTTCATCATGGCATGCATGCAGGATCTAGTTCCCCTACCCCCGACCAGGAATTGAACCTGGGCCCCCTGTATTGGAAGCACAGAGCCTTACCCACTGGACCACCAGGGAATTCCCTGTTTTTCTGTAGACTTTTTAATGATGGCCATTCTGACCAGTGTGAGGTGGTACCTCACTGTAGTTTTGATTTGCATTTCTCTAATAATTAGCAATGAGGAGGATGTTTTCATGTGCCTGTTGGCCATTTGTTTGTCTTCTTTGGAGAAATGTCTATTTAGGTCTTATGCCCAGCTGAGTAAATTATATTTGTGAGCAAATTATAATACATGAGGAGGATCTCAACCTTCCAAAGGGATGCAAAGAATAACTGGCAGAGTGCAAGTATACTGGTGACCATAATGACATTACAATATAACTTGGCATTACAACAAAGTACATAAATGTTACAACATAGTTCAGGACTCCCTCCTCCCCCCACATCCACCACTTCCACAATTAGAATTAAAATGCAATTTGATTCATACTTACAATCATTGGTGCTCCAGGATTTTGAGATATAATTGTTGTGATCACTAATATGTCATTTCTAAGCTGACGATCATAATGACTAAGACCTCTTGTAAACAGATTTTTAAATACTTTCTTCAAAGCCCTAAAAAGTGAAGTCATATCTTTAAAGCCATATTTCTATGGAAATACCACCTAAGTGTCTACTAACAAAATCTCCCTTTTTACATTTTACTACTCATTTCAAAATATTTCTAATCTTTTCTATACAAATCTGCCTCTAGTTCTCTGAGGGACTAGATAAGAATCCCTCAGTCCAATCTATACCTGGTGGTCAAAGTGACTGCTCTAAAATAAAGATTCAATCACGTCATTTTCCTTTTTAAAATTACTGATACTTAAAGGCTTTTCTTTGTTCTTAGGATAAAGTCCTACCTCCCTACCAAGGCTTATCAGGCCTTTCATGTTACAGTCCCTGCTAACATTGTTAGCTTCATCTCTCACTATTCTACCCTGTACTTTTTGCTCTCACTATATTGAATTTCTTTCAATTTTTTTGATTTTGCTAAATTCTTCTTTCACTTCTGTTCCCCTGTCTAGGATGCTCTCTGCATGCAGAACTCTTGTGTTGCTAAATCACATTTATCATGCAGATACCAGATTAGGGTTTATTAGGAAGTGCTGATTAACTCTCCAAGTCTGGGTCAGGTTCCCTGTACAATGGACATTTGTTGCTTTATCTTCTAGGAGCCACTTGCCCTTCTTGTGATAATAGTACCCTTATGTTTATTTAGGCATTCACTCTTTACCCACTTTTGGTTTTGTAAACCTGCCTTCAACTAAAAGGAAGCGAGTTAGAGCATTCCTTCTTTCTGTCACTGTAACTCACTCTGAAATGGGCATATGGCCAACACCAGACCACTAAGGGTCAACAGGGACTCAATTATAAGGATTTTACTTGAGCTTTTGGAATAGCAAGTCTTATCTTCTGCTTGGTTTGGGGTTGTGATTATGTGAAGCTAGACCTCGTAGGTCTTACCATATGGATCTTGAGACTAAAGCCAACACAGTGGAAAATAGTGCAGAGGGATGAAGAGGGCCCAAGTCCTGATATTTGCTGAGCCTTGAATACAGCTGCACATGAAACCAGTTTTATCCTTGACTTTGTAGTTACATGAGCCCATAAAATTTCCTATTCGGTTTATATCAGTTGGGTTGGGGGTTCAGTTGCTTGCAAACAAAACTGTGCTGATCCACCATCTTCAGGAGAACATGAAGGACCTTGCAGTAATCTCTTTCATAACATTTAGTATGCTCTCTTTTAGTTGCCTATTTACTTGTCTCTCTCTCTTAACATAATGCAAGTGCTGTGAAAGCAGAGACCATTTCTGTATTGTTTTCAGTTGTATTTCCACAGCCTAATACTGAACTTGGCACAGAGCAGGCAATAATTATTTGATGAATATATGAATAAGTAACTCAAAGGCTCACTCATATTTTATTGCTAATGCTTACTGTAGTATCTGGAAGACAGTAAGTACTCAAAAATAGGTTTACTAAATGAACAAATGAAATAGTTATTTTAAATATCTAATTTTACTTTATACATACTCAAGGACATAATTTAGTTTTGTTAACAAGCTACTTTAAAAGCCTTCCACATAGAAAAAAAAAAAGACTTGTTATTGTGCAGATGCATTTATACCATGGTACAAAAAAAATGTCCTGAAACATAGCCATTACATGAATCAAAAGCCTAATTGAACATAAATTAAAAAAAAAATTTAGTTATGTCACTGGCTATCGTTTTAAGGTTAAAAATTCCTATCTAACCACATATACTTACAGCAAACATTCCAAGTTACTAAGCTGTTGTATGATTTCTTCTTTTGAAGATTTTTCCAATAAGTTCCAAAGTATTTCGGATGAACGAAATAGAAGCTGTCCAGAGGGATCTGGGTCATTGAGGTGAGCACAGATTCCACTGGCTGCTTGTGCTTTCACCATTAAAGTACAATTAACTTCTGAAAATAAATTTTAAAATTATTTATGCTGTACAGCCTTGACATTACTAGATAAAAACAAAAATAGCTGAGAATGAAGTGTTCAAATATGTACAATAATATACAAACCAGAAGCTGAGAGATGTTGTAGAGTTTTAAATACCCAAAGTTTCTCAACAAGTTGATTTTCAAACAACACCAATGACTGGACCATTGTTTTTGCCAATCCTCCAACTTCAGCCATTTTAATCTTATATGATGAACTAGCCTGCTGGTAACCTAGCAACAATTAGTGAATAAATATGTACAGTTATTTCACATAGTAATCATCTACATTAAACAAAAGAATGAGTAAACATTAAACAACAGCAATAACAGAAACTTTAAAAAAGTTTATGGCATGTTAAAATGGTATAGCACAGGGATTGGCAAACTTCTATAAAAGGCCAGGTATCAGTATTTTAGGCTTTGCAGGTTATAAGATTTCTCTCTCAAATACTCAACTCTGCTACCATAGCATGAAAGCAGGCATAAACCATACAAAAATAAGTGGGCATGGCCGTGTTCCAATAAAAGTTTATTTACAGAGGGCCAATTTTGGCCTGGGGTCCATAGTTTGCTGATCCCTGGTGTAGCATTTGAAATAGGACTGCAGAGTTGGAGGCGTATCTTAAATTCTAAAAAAGAACAATATACCTTTCCATGAAGGAAAGTGGCATGATTACAAATACTAAATGTTTTCACTATTCAAGTCAATACATTACTTTAGTGCTTTCAAGGGACCATAATTACATAATTTGGTGATGAAATAAGAGGTAAAAATATAATGCTGTTCTGATAAATGCTAGTGAAAATGATATCTTAGGGAAGTTTGATTCTTGGCGACATGTCTTATAATAATTTCCTTCTGCTGTAGCGCCTGTGAGAAACACCACCTCTCCTTTGATACAGCTGCACAGGTACCTGACCAACTACACTCAACTAGAGAGATTAAATACACAGTAGAGGGTACGTGCTCACGTGAGACGCAGCTATTTTCTCTCTTAGTGATATACTTATCTACCTCCCTGACTTCTTGACTTTTGAGACCAACTAGATTCTTTAACTTTGCCATAGTTCTGAGATGTCTGTCAGTTTGTCTTGTCTTTCTGAATTTGATCTTTAGCCCTGGACAAGGCCCTGTCCACTCCTGTGATGGGTTCTCTATGGTAAGGCCCTAGCTACTCACTTTAGGCATTTAAAAAATATAAAGAGAAAACCACAAGTTGCAGAATTTCACCATCCAGAGAGAACAACCTTAACATTCTGGTATATTTCTTTTGTTTTTTTTGATCTATTAAGCAGCTACTATGTTACAGATTATTGTAAATCTGGTATATTTCTTACTGATATTTTTAATGTATGCATATAACTTTAACAATATACTATATGCAGAATTTTACATTCAACTGCAGCCACTAAAGATTTTATTGTAAGCCTTTTCTCATTCTATATTTTCCCAAATAGTAATTTTATTTGCATAATAGCCTGTCATATGCATGGACCAACCAAAATGTACTTTATACTTACTGTATCTTTATATATTGAGTTTACATTTCTACAGAAGGATATAGTAATATTAAGGCTCATGGACCTGATTCCTGTCTCCAGGGCTACGTCTCTTACTATTGCTCTACTGAGGACTTTTCAGCTGTGGTCCCAGCTATCCTGCCATGCCCATCACCTGAAACCAACTGTGTGACAGCTAGTGAGAGCATTGCCTAAGATTCCCAATTTTCAGAGCCTGGTCAAATTAAGATCAACCTCACTTCTCTGCACCTTAACTCCTCTGTCATATCTTATATATCATTTGTCTCCCTTTCTTTCTATTTTAAAAAGACTGTGTATATATTGCCTAGGTTAACCCTAAACTTGTGCTCTTAATTCCATCCTCTCATGCCTTCTTTGGGAATTCCACCCTCCAATTTTCCACGTACTAGCTTCTTATTCCTCTGCCTATAGGGGAAAACTTCATTTTTCCCTATCCTAAAAATTATAAATAATAACAAAACCAAATATCTTTGATTTTGCTACCAGTTGAATTGTTCTCCATCTTCCTTTTTTTTCCTTCTCCATCTGATTTTAATATATAAGTCTGCATTCACTGCCTCTGTTCTCACAATCCTCTCATTCTTTAGTCCTGTATCTGCCCTGACCACTTTATGGCAATAGATCTGCCAAAAATGAACTACAACTTTTCAGATATCACATCAGTTGGCGTTTTCATTCCTCAATTACAGAAGCCTCTACAGTATTTGACACTGAGACCACTACTTCCTTCATCAAACATTTCATTCACTGGCACACAAGACATGGCAGTCTTTAGCTTTTCCTCCTCCTCTCTGAACCTTCCTTCATTGCCAGTTTCTTTGGATTGCTTTTTGTTTTGTTTTGTTTTTCCCCAGATCTCAATATGGGCACTCTCCATGTTGCTGTTCTTGGTCCCTTGCTGCTTACATGCTTTATCTCCTGGAAAACTCAAGCACCCTGATGGTTTCAATTTTCACCTCTATTTGGGTGAATTTCAAACCTGTATTTCTGGTCTCTGCTTTTAGTATCCAATGTCTACTATCTACCAAACACTTTCTCCTGTTTATCTCAATAGCTCAGATCTGACAGTTAATAATTTCTTTACTCATTTCTCTACTTCATATGTCCTCCCATTTTTCCCTATTCATAAGTTAGCTTTCTTTTCTACCAGTCTTATTGCCACCCATTTAAAGGAACATATAACTTAAAAATGTATTTTATATCTTCTCTCCTTTCCTAGATTGATTATGAATTACAGAAACTATGAAGGTAGGAAGTATGTCCTAAGTAACATTATATCCTCTACATTGCAAGTGCCCTCTATCTTGATACCACCCATTTCAGTGTGACTCATTTTATCATTAAATATTATGATCCCTTAGCTGTAACATGCAGAACTCTTTTTCCAAACATGGTAGAGAATGTTATTAGCATTAGGAATTTAACATCTAGGTGGGTGGGACAGAGATTATGAATAATTATAAATATTAGAAAATAATAATATTATCAACAGTATTAAATAACATTAATAGTAATAATTATAATTAAACTAACTTGGGTATGACTTTAAAAATTCTGTTATATTTAGCATCAGAAAAATCTAAAGTTGAAAAAAATACATAAATTTTTTTGTTTAAAATGACTGAAGAGTTTGAGACTACCAAAAGAACTGTTTTGATGTGTTGCATTTATTTATTTTTTAAAAATTAATTAATTTTTATTTTTGGCTGCATTGGGTCTTCACTGCTGCACGTGGGCTTTCTCTAGTTGTGGTGAGCGGGGGCTACTCTTCGTTGCAGTGCGTGGGCTTCTCATTGTCCTGGCTTCTCTTGTTGCAGAGCATGAGCGCTAGAGCTCAGGCTCAGTAGTTGTGGCCTAGATCTGGGATCTTTCCAGATCAGGGCTCGAACCCATATCCCCTGTATTGGCAGGTGGATTCTTAACCACTGCATCACCACAGAAGCCCGATGTGTTGCATTTATGATCCCACTCTGTCTTCCCAAGTTCAAAGAGAAATGAGAAAGACTGTTCTATTTTATAAAGACATAAGTTATTACTGAAAGACTATTGAAAACTTTACCTGTAATATGCTGCTTTGGTGGTTCTGCATGATAAAAGTCAATAATACACTTACAAATTTGTATCCTCAATTCAGAACTTGGTATTATCATTAAGTCACCTGCCAGAAAGATAAACAAATGCTATTCAATAACAGTGCCATAAGTTTATTTGCAGTTTTAAGCATACAGTGTTAGTAACATGATTAAAAATATCATCAGAGATTCAAACTGGATCATGTAATTTTATACACACACACACACATGTGCGTGCGCATGGATGCACAAAACACCCTGAATATCTATCATTGTAACACTTGGCCCCTCAATCAACTCATTCTCTCCTTCCCAGGAAGAAAAGAATGGTAATTAGCAGCATAAATGCTAGAACTAGATTGTCTAAGATTAAATCCTGGCTCTGCCACTTACTACCTGTATAAACTTGTGTCTTTTAGTTTTCTCATCTATAAAATGGTATAACAATAGTTACCACTTTAAAGATTGCTGTGAGAATTAAATGCGTTAGTATGAGAAAAGGGCTGAGACTTTTCCTCCCTAACTAGAGAGTCAGTAATCTGTTGCCTCTAATAATGCATCCTTTGCTTAGAGAAGTTCCAAGTGAGCTTTGCTCCCTCAGTTTATTGACAGACTGGAAGGCAGTGAGTTTCTAGGCAGTCTTTGCCCTGCAGGTTTTATGTTCAGGTTATTGTGGTGGGGATGGAGGATAGGGAATATTCCTTTTCAGTCATATTTAAACTACTTCTGAATTGGCTTCAGTCTATATTTCAAACTGGATTGTATCTGCTCTGGTGAAGTCCTACAAGTATGATCCCTAAGAGAATCTGAAAATGATCAGTAGGGTTCTGGAAATGATCCAGAATGTCCTCTGGGAGCCTGAGGACAACTGGAGTCAGGAATATCAGCTTCAGGACTGAAGCAGATCTGCTTGGATTCTCTGAGGGAAAGAGATAATTAGGTGTGCCTTGAAGACTTGTGTTTTGCATTAGGCTTTGCATAATGTTTATCTCTGGGGGTAGCCAGTGGGTGGGGAAACAAGCAGACAGAAGGAGGGAGCACGTAGGAAAGGCTCACCCTAGCTTGAGAAGAATCTATCAGCAAAAGCTAGCACTTAAAAAAACAGATAGGTTCAAGATTATTCTCTTAATTTTTTTGGACCCATCCTTTGAAGTTGAAAACTCACTATGTTTTGAAAAAAATTAGGCAACAGGAACAACAAAACTTTTCTAATAAAACTATCCAAACGTTCAAGTTTATGGGAAATTCTAAGGTTTCTCGTCTGCTTCACCACCCTTTTAGTTCCTGTAGGTTTAGATCATCTCTCATAGTTTCCTGTTTACAATCTCAGGGCAGAGGACCAACTTTTTCCTTCATATGTTTCCAGAATCCTGTTCTTAATTCAGAAATATCTTTCATTTAGAAGAAAAAGTAATATAATTTACTAGTACATAGTAGAAACTGGAAGTTACTAAAAATGAATAGCCTTTGTTCAAAACTTTGTACTACAATTATTTTAGTTTAAACTCATGGTTCCAGCAATTAAAAAAATGAGGGACAGAGCAGCAGTACTTACGGTAAGTAATCAGTGAAAGGAGTTCATTTTAAGCTAAGAGTTCATACTGCCCTCAAATGAGACAGTAATATGTTCTGTAGGCAGGCATTCAGCAAAGAGTAGACTGACACAGTAAAAAAGCTCCATGTATTTATTATACAAATGCATATTTACAAATAATAAGGGCAACAGATTTTTTAAATGTTATCAACCAAACCTACACTTTTTATCTGTTAATACTATCATATCCCCTTCTAGGTTGGCTTCTCACTGTAAATTTCCACTGATGAGAGATTCACAGAATTAAAGTTTCCCATTAGTTTCTAGTCTTCCTGCTCCTTAAGGTCATCTTACTGAACTCCCCATGTTTATTCTAATTTCCTTGATACCTTCACCCACTTTAGGCCATAATAATTCCTCCCAAAGTATCTACAGTTGAAGATTATGAAATTTATTTAGACATAAAAGTGTTAGTGTCTATGTTAAAAATTTTAAATGCCTTTTACTTATATTAGTTTCTATCATCTTTCAGTATGGAGTATAATGCTGGGAACATAACTATTCAGTAAATATTTATTTTTAATTTGTTAGGCCATTTGTGTATCTTTTATTTCTCCTGTACAAAGACCTAAATTAATAAGCATAAATTTAATGTGGGATTTGTTTTGGGAACATGCTGTTATGTCTCAGGGGCTGATTCAAGGAGCTATAGTGTTTGATCTCATTTCTAAAAAATTATTATTTTCTTTCTCTAGAAAACTGAGCAATAACCCAAATATGAAACCTGATTACAATATTTTTCATATTTTTGTATACAAAAACACAGGCATCGTTATATATATTATACTAAAGCTCCCAATATCCCACCATTTTATGATTTTATTTAAGACTTTAAATTATTTAATGAACAATTTGGCCCTTGCTAAATTGTTAGAATTGCTAACAATTCCAGCAATCAGTTAGGTTCAAGCAATGATTAGAGTTCAAAGATGAAAATATTTTTGTGATTACTGAAAGAGAGGAACACATACTTCTGATTTACAAAAAAAAATGTCACCAAACATTTCATCAAACTAAATATATAACATCAAGACAAATAAGTGCAAATAAGTATCTGCCAGTCCTTAAAATTAAGGAACAAAAAATCCTGTTGGTATAATGAAACACCTGAGTAGAAGATAATACAAACAACGTCACCAAGCACACTGTGATTAATTCCCAACAAGAAAAGAGCCTAGATTTGGAGAAGAAGTATCCTTAGTGAAACTTTGTGCAAGAGCTATTTCCTTCTTGTCAGTAGGGCCTATCATCTCAACTCACCCAGAAGTGCAATTGAATTAGCAGTATCTTCAGCATATGTTATTTCATCCGATACTTTCTTTTTCAAAAATGGCAAGCTTCAATAAGAATGAAGAATATATGAGTTATGTTTAATGAAGTCCTTAATTGAAGCATTATTTGCAAAGTAGAAGAAAATTTCTTTTCTAAAGATTAAAACGAGGATAAATATCCTGTTTCTTTAGCCCTGGAGAATTAACAACTACCAAAAATATTTCTGTGTTTCTAACCAGTTGACCAAAATAAAATAAAATAAAACAAAATAAAATAGGTTTATAAAAATGAAGAGACATGGACATACAAGGCAAGGGTTAAGAAAGCCATATTGCAACAGTACATAAATAAAAAACTTAAGAATCTTCCTTCTCTCTGAGGGCAAAATAATACTAGATTATACCTGTACTATTAAAATTAGGAAGACATTGGAAAATCTGATACAAATCACAGATCTAGTCTCACCTATAACTTAAAGGCTGTTCAAGGGCTTTTTCTGAAGTTTTTGAAACTCCAGTTAATAGATCAATGGTCTATTTGTTCTTAAAAGTCACTGACTTTTTCCTTATTAATTGGATCAGTTACCATCCATGAAATAACAAATATACTTTTTGAGACACTAAAGAATTTAATAAATATTAATTATATTAGAATTACATTTCACAGCTAATATAACCAAAGTTATCTGAAAATAATTTATTCACAAATCATAAAAGATAGGGCACTCGAACCTAGGTCATTAGTCTAAGTGTCAGAGGAGAGAGAAAAGTCACTTCCTAAACAAAAAATATAAACTATTTCAGCATTTCAGGAGTTCAAAATTTGAACTTTGTATCCTATTTAAAGATATTTAATATATCTTATATATAGGACTTTAAATTCATGTTTTTCAAGAAAAATTAACCAAATAGTTGAAAAAGAGCACTTGGAACTATCACATGTGGATGTATATAGGTCAACTGGAATTAAAAGATATTTCAAGGGCAAGTTATGAAAAGGAATATTTTATAAATACCATAGAGGTTCATTTCTGGTGTTTGTTAGAATTTTTCATTTGAAATAAATAACTTAATTACTTGATATCCAGCTCATTGTTGAATCTCTAAAGTGAAGAACTATAAAATGAATTGTTCTTGTCCTCAAATTTTTTCCTTTTTTACCAAAGGAAACAACCTAAAAGATAAAGCATCAGAATAGTTTTCCACCAAAAAGGTTATGAAAAAAAATAAGTATTATACTTCTGATGCACTGAGAGAAACATACTACTTAGAGGCCAAAACAGAAGGGTTTGATTTTATTTTTTAATTTTCTATGTTTTTATCTCCCAAAAATGTCCTGAAAAGAGAATCAAGTGAGGGTGTGGTGTGGAAAAATGCACGATGAAAGTAGAAATTAGGAAAGTAAAAAGAAAAAAAAAATGATGTAATTATGAAATATGAAGGAAAGTGAAGAGTGCATTTCAAAAGATTTCTCATATTATGCAATGAAACATTCAGTCACAGCTTTCATAGAGAACCAATTCTTGGTGGAGCTCTGTAGGAGTACTGATGTTGAAAGTAATGCTTGCAAATCTGGTGTTCTAAGACTTGCATAGCCTCAAAATCTGAAAGTGTTTTACATAATATTATCTCACATCAATATACAAATAATTTTCAGTTAGTACATTACAGTTCCTTGACAGCATCAGAGCAATAATTTATTTCTTTATTTTTCATGGTCTCTATTAAAAAGTAAGGTGTGGTAAGGGCATTCAATAAATTTTTTTTGAACATCTATTCAGATAACAAAATCTTAAATGTAATTAGTTACAAAATTGCAAATATTATTGCTACCAAATCTAAAAGTGAGAGATAAACTTACCACATATACATAGTCCTACTAATACTATTATTTATATATTAAAAGAAACTCACTATTTAAAAAGTAAATTGGTAGAAAAGTTTAGAAGGTTAAATTGTCAGAAAAGTTTATTCCTTGTTTAAGAAATTTCCTCTACCATATTATATTGAAAACCAAAAACATATATTTTAATATATATCTTGATTAGCCACTATGTGGCTAGTTCCCCCAAATGGTTGAAGAAAAAATAGTACAGAGGATGGAATATATAAATTTTATAATTCTGATCTCTAATTTACATTTTGAAAAAAATATGCCAAAAATAATTTGGTGATAAATCATTCTTTATTCAAATTTGGAAGATCAAATAAAACATTTTGACTCTCATGTCTTTGAGAGTCAAATTTCTTAGAGAGATAGAAAAAAACTAGGCAGAAACTATTAAATATTGTCCATAAATTTTCTCAAGGATTCTCTAAAAATATTATTTCTTTGTTTTATCTCATATTTATCATTCACTTGAGAGCAATTTATTATGAGAAAACATTCGAATATACTTACAGTTTAATCTCTTGTGGTCAGCAATCTCAGACTACAATAAAATAAAATGTACTACCTTTGAGATACCAGCTGCTGGAATCAAGTGATCAAGTGAAGTGTCCTGAGTTCTGTATCACTTTTCTATACCATAATGCATAATATTTTTGTAAGACAAAATAAAACAGAAAATACTGCATGCTAATATAAAACAAAGTTAAAAAAAAAACTTACCCACATAATTTTAGGATATTACATGCAGGTTCTATAAAATGGGGCTGTTTTTTAATTTTTCCTGCACACAGATTCAGAATTTTAAATATCTGTGCTAAATCCCTTAGGGGCTTTAATATTTTTAGTTAAGAAATAAAATTAAGATTTTTATTAAAATATCCTTTACAGCACTTCTGTCAAGAAAAGTCTATAGAATTCCATCTACTTTGTTAAATGTGGTTTAATTATACCAATTTTGAAATCTAAAGAGGAAAACAGAACCATGTTTTTTTAAGGAATATTATTTAATTTTTGTCTCAGTAACCTCTTATTCAAAATATTTTTTTCTCTTCTCACCACATCTTTAGAATTTGACTACCAACTACTACACCACATATTCAGTTGAACAATAACTTATTATTGGCAATGAGTAATAACACTTTGAAAACAAAACTAACTTAATGGCTCAATTATATCCTTAATCTCCACCCACATACAAAACATATATTGCTCAGGAATAAGCAACCCAAACCTACCTTACTTTTATGTGTTATTTTATTAACATTACTCAGGTGTGTGCTCTTGTTTTTAAGGTTTAAATTGGTTGAAAATTTTATTTAAGACTAGTTTATGAAAGCAAAATGTACCCTCTCTAGATCTTCAGGTAAAAGCACCTTTTATTTTACCTATTTAAAAAACCCAGTTGGTACATAAACAAATTTCACATTTTTTGTTTTGTTTTGTTTTTTAATACAGTTAAGGGGACATGGTAGCTGTGACTTGCACTTCTTGATTGAATCTGATCACTTCTAGTCTCTAGGAGCTTCTTAGAAAAAGATAGGAGAGCTGGATGTATTAGAAATACAAACCTCTGTTAACTTCCTAGAGAAATGATCCCTCTCTAACTTATGTTTGCTTTATGTGATTATAACCTCTAAACCCAGCCTACTAAAGGCATTCAGAAACAGTCATTTGCCACCAACTCTCTAGCCTGAAGAAGAAAAAAAAAGGGAGGTGTTGAGTTATTGGGTTAAGATAAGAAATCACTTGCTAGTAGACTTTCTTGGCTACCAGTAAACAATGCTTGATATCGACAAGCCCTCAGGTAACTGACTGAACAAATCCATATAAAACAAGGCTAAGGCACCACTTCCCTGAATCGGAGGCTTAAGACGTTTTGAAATCTTGGAACAAGATAATATTAGAGACTGCTGTCTTCTTGGGACCAGACTGGACAACTGTTAGAGATTAGTTAGATCAATACTACTGTTAAGTGTGGTCTGTGGACCATGCCAGTTCTGGAATTGTATGTTACCAGTCTGTGGAAAAATAACTGCAGAAAGTGAATTTCCTGTGACAATTTCATTGCATTTTTACAATAGCATATATATGCAAAGGATAAAAAAAAAGAAACAACCCCCAACAGCAAACTGGTTCTTAATCACAGATAGTTTTGAGACATACTGGTTTCTACATATTCTGATCAGGGTGGTATCTTCATTGAGGATAACATATTTATAGAATGTTTTACAGATTATCAAGAAGTTGCTCATACATTATCTCATCTAGTCTTCCTAGCAACCTTATGAGGGGCTGTTATCCCTATTTTATAAGGGTGGAAAAGTTAAGAAGCTTATCAACAGTGCAAATACTCAGGTAAATTGGTAGAAACAAGACTTTGACTTGGCCCTGCTAACTACATAAACTGTCTCTCTGAGTCTATAGAAACTGACACTATCTGCACAGTTAATATTGCATTATACTGTTTCTTCAAATTTATATTCTCTGATAAAAATATAATTTTGTAAAAAGCACAAAATGTTAGATATTTTCTGTGGTAAACAGAATAATGGCCTGTCCTAATCCCTAGAACTTGTGACTGTTACCTTCCTTACATGGCAAAGGGACTTTTCAGATGTGATTAAGTTAAAAGCGTTGACATAGGAAAGTTATCCGAGGTTATACAAGTAGGCCCAATGTAATCACAGAGTCCTTATAAGGAAAGGAGAGGCAGGAGAGGGTCAGAGAAGGAGATATGATGACAGAAGTAGAGGTGAGAGTGATGCTACTTCAAGGAAGGGCCCAGGAAGCCTAGGAATGCAGGCTGCCTCTAGAAGCTGGCAAAGGCAAGGAAATGGATTCTCCCCTAGAGCCTTCAGAAAGAACCAGCCCTGCCAACAACACCTTGCCTTTAGCCCAGTGAGACCTCCAGAACTATAAAACAAAAAATTTATGTGGTTTTAAGGCACTAAGTTTTTGGTAATTTGTTACAGCAACAATAGGAAGCTAATGCGTTTTCTAATAAAAATTCTCCCATTTCAGGATAACCAAAAAAACATACACATATAAGTAAAGGATACAAGTCCATTCTGATAACACTGCACCATTTTCTTGACAGATTTAAGTTGTTTTTCTTCTAAATCATCCTAAAACAAATTATCTATTTTAGTTCTTTTGTGTTATTAATTCTGTTGAGATTTTAAAATTTTTCCTTAGTTATCAAGTAATTCTTAAATTACTATATTATAATGTAAGCATTAAAAATGTTTCATAAAACAGTGAAGGTAAAAATAAACTACCATTTATATTTGAATAAGAAATTGCGAATCAAAACTAGGTTAATATAAAAGCATTAATTGTTTCCAGAAATAATATTAATAATACTGAAGTATGTTGAGCATTTTTCTATGCCATGTACCATTTAGGCAAGGTATATACATATCATTTCATTAATCTTCAAAATAACCCTATTAGGAGGTACTTTTATTATCCTTCTTTTTCGGAATATGAAACTCAAGCTGAAACACTACGTAATTACCCAAATCACACAGCTAATAAATGGTGATGTAAGAAGTCAAATTTGACAATCTGACTCCAGAAATTGTATTTTTAACCTCTAAAATATACCCAATGTAATGGCTCAAACTAAACATCTTCAGCCAATAAAAACAAAACAAAACAAAGCAAAGCAAAACTCTGTATACTGATGCATTTTCATGACTGAATCACTTTTTTGTGTGTGTGTGGTACGCGGGCCTCGACTCTTACTGTTGTGGCCTCTCCCGTTGCAGAGCGCAGGCTCCAGACGCACAGGCTCAGCGACCATGGCTCACGGGCCCAGCCGCTCCGCGGCATGTGGGATCTTCCCGGACCAGGGCACGAACCCACGTCCCCTGCATCGGCAGTCGGACTCTCAACCACTGTGCCACCAGGGAAGCCCCCCCATTTCTGTTCTTTTAACCTTCTTGTTTGTGAGAAACTGTGGCGTGTGTGTGTGTGTGTGTATATCTGTGTATATAGACATATGTATGAACATATACATACACACACACACATACATATTTTGTCTACCCTTATTTAACAGCTAGTAGGAGCTCTACATAGTTGGGTTTCCTTTTTTAAAAACTGCAGATATATTCACAATTAAAAATAACTTTCACAATAATCATAGCCAACAAAAGATAAATTATTCTTATAAAGTCATTATTCTTAATGTGTTTTTTTCTTCTTTCTATGTAAAAATGTAGAGACTAAAAAATGTTAAAACAATGACTAAATTTTTGCACCTGCTAATCACAGGACATTGTTTTGATCTGCTATACCATGGTCAGCCCATTTCCCACTTACTGAAAGTATGCAATCTTCATCCTGTAGTAATTTTATAGTGTATACTGGCTTTTTAGGCATTCAGTCAATTCTTGGGTAACATCAGGAGAGTGTCATATAAACATGTATGCATATGCATTTATTATCCTTTCTCCTAATGCCTAAACTTCAATTTTGAGTCTTGTATCTTTATTTCCATTACATTCTGTATAAGAGTTCTCTCAAAATAAATTACTTATGACTGGATATGAGTATGTACATATCCTAATTTCTTATCAGGAAATTTTTAAGTACTACATCATTATACACTTTTTCTACCCTTGTGCCCATATCCTACTTGGTAATAAGCTATGAACAGAGGCTAGATCAGTCTTTCTTTACTCTTATGATTTCTTCTGTTTATATCCACCATGGATTTGTCCATCCCATGTAATCAAATCTATTCTTTTCCAGCCTCCCTACCAGGTTAAATATATTCATACTAAATTTAAATAGTTCTTCAAGATGAGACATATACTATTTGAAATGTTTTCAACAAAAGGAGAGAAATGAGACATATTTAGGGGAATACATGTTACCTTTCAGGGAAATCACAGTTTCTAAGTGAAATAGAGAAATTTTCTCTCAAAGCTTACTTTACCAGTCTCTTCGAGGAGTTTGATGACACAATTTAGGTCCATAGGCTTGAAAACACCCTAAAAAACATAAAACTCATAGTATTCTATGTCATGAGAAACAAGAAATCACATCAAACACACTATTTTTATATGGCATTATCTCTTAGCAACTTAAAAATATCTTATGAAAAAAAGATAGTAAAGGACAATGAAAAGCAGATGAGACTTATAGGAGTAAATAAATTTTGGAGTGAACCCCCCCAAACCTCTTGAATTCTAGTATTACCTTACAATCTTTTTTTTTCATTTTATTTTTCTTTATTATTATTATTTTAACATCTTTATTGGAGTATAATTGCTTTACAATGGTGTGTTAGTTGCTGCTTTATAACAAAGTGAATCAGCTATACATTACATATACATATATCCCCATATCTCCTCCCTCTTGCATCTACCTCCCACCTTCATATCTTACAATCTTAATGTCTTTAAATTTCTTAGTCCTGAAAGGACCAAGAGAGCATCTGGAATAATAGCACTTCCATGCTTTGGAAAATAAAACGATCTCATTCATACATATTACATATCTCATGCATACACATTACACTGAGTTTGCCTACGCAGATATACATAAGACTAGCTTCTAAACTACAGGTAGGCGATCGCCTTCTTGAACCAGGTATTCCCTCTCCCAGCAGTCTTACATCACCTGTAGTAGAAAACAGGAACTGCCAAGTTCTACAGAGTTTACATCTTAAATATTTCTTGAGCCCACTCCATCTTTTTTTTTTTTAATTATTATTGGAGTATAGTTGCTTTACAATGTTGTGTTAGTTTCTGCTGTACAACAAAGGGAATCAGTTATACATATACATATATCCACTCTTTTTTAGATTTCCTTCCCATTTAGGTCACCACAGAGCACTGAGTAGAGTTCCCTGCGCTATACAGTAGGTTCTCATTAGTTATTTATTTTATATATAGTCATGTATATATGTCAATCCCAATCTCCCAATTCATCCCACCCTCCCCCTTCCCCCTTTGGTAACCTTAAGTTTGTTTTTTACATCTGCGACTCTATTTTTGCTTTGCAAATAAGTTCATCTGCACCATTTTTCTGGATTCCACATACAGTATAAGTGATATTATATGATATTCATCTTTCTCTTTCTGACTTACTTCACCCTGTATGACAATCTCTAGGTCCATCCATGTCTCTACAAATGGCATTATTTCATTCCTTTCATGGCTGAGTAATATTCCATTGTATATATATATGTACCACAACTTCTTTATCCATTCCTCTGTCAATGGAAATTTAGGTTGCTTCCATGTCCTGGCTATTGTAAATAGTGCTGCAATGAACATCGGGGTGCATGCATCCTTTCAAATTATGATTTTCTCCAGATATATGCCCAGGAGTGGGATTGCCAGGTCATATGGTAGCTCTCCTTTTAGTTTTTTAAGGAACCTCCATAGTGGCTGTACCAATTTACATTCCTACCAACAGTGTGGGAGGGTTCCCTTTTCTCCACACCCTCTCCAGCATTTATTGTTTGTAGATTTTTTTGATGATGGCCATTCTGACTGGTGTGAGGCGATACCTCATTGTAGTTTTGATTTGCATTTCTCTAATAATTACTGATGTTGAGCATCTTTTCATATGTTTTCTGGCCATTTGTATGTATTCTTTGGAGAAACGTCTATTTAGGTCTTCTGCCCACTTTATGATGGGGTTGTTTGTTTTTTTGATATTGAGCTGCATGTGTTCTTTGTATATTTTGCAGATTAATCCCTTGTCAGTTGCTTTGTTTGAAAATATTTTCTCCCATTCTAAGGGTTGTTTTTTCATTTTGTTTATCATTTCCTTTGCTGTGCAAAAGCTTTTAAGTTTAATTAGGTCCTATTTGTTTATTGTTCTTTTTATTTTCATTACTCTAGGCAGTGGATTGAGAAAATCTTGCTGTGATTTATGTCAAAGAGTGTTCTGCCTATGTTTTCCTCTAAGAGTTTTATAGTATCCGGCCCACTCCATCTTAATGATTTATTCAGTTCTCATTTCTCACTCAGTTTTGAAGGTTTCCTGCTGTTTGTTCTCCCCGCCTCTAGTCTTGCACCCTTACGGTTCTACCCTCTGATCAGAACAATAAAACCCAAATCTGAACACAACACATCTAAATCATTCAGTGACTCTCCACTAATGCCTTTCACCCCCTCCTCTGTTTTCATTATGTTGTTACAATCCTATCTGTCTCCTTAGTTAACATCCCCAGGTCCTTCAAGACACAGTTCAGGTGTCACCTCCCCAAGGGAGGAAAAAGGATACAACAAATGTCCCTCCTGAGTACTCCCATTGCACTTTGAATGTATATCCATCACAATTCCCATCACCTTATTCTAAAATGGTTTACATCCTTATCCCCTATCCCAAAGTTTACTTTGAGGGAAGACTTTTGTTTTCTGGCATCCCCAGCACCAAACACTGGGTGTAACATATATAAGTTATTTGTAGGTAAATGGGGAAGGAAATAGAAGGTGTTATCCAAAGTTTAAGTACTTATGATAGTATAGAAATGTCAAAATTCTAAATGCAGTTTTGGCTATATTTATCTTGGGGATTAATGCTTTGCTGCATGGCGTTTTCTTTCATTCAAATGTTATATCAATACTGCTCACTCCTATTAGAAGGGTTAAGCTATCCCAGTCTCTTTTGTTTCCTTCTTCCCATCTCTCCTGCTTTCATACTTATTTCTACTTTAAAATAACTGTTTGAAAAGATGACGTAATAAAAAATATTCAAAAAGAAAAAGATCTTATCATCAAAATACATTTTTATTATTTTCTGCTTTATATATGTATTTTAATATTTTATTTTCTGTTTTTGTTTACATGTATAAATACATTACATAATTTCACTTAGTGTTAACACTATTGTATATTCTGATTTTTAAATCTATAATACATACCGTTCCATATTTCTACATAGTCACCTTTCTACGCAGTCATTATTCCATTGCCTCTTAGGGCTAGAATTTCCTTTCCTTTCACAATTACAAACTCACATGTTCTGATCTCAAGAAATCTCTTTCAAAACCAATTTTCAGTTAAGCGTTCTAACATTAAGTCTGCAGAATAAGTATCTGAGTGAGTTTATTTACTCAATATGATTTTTACTTCAAAAATTAACAATCAAAAAGGATTTACTCCCATAATTGCTGGGTGGGTGACTCGCAGACTGGAGAACACTTATACCACAGAAGTCCACCCACTGGAGTGAAGGTTCTGAGCCCCCACGTCAGGCTTCCCAAGCTGGGGGTCTGGCAATGGGAGGAGGAATTCCTAGAGAATCAGACTTTGAAGCCGAGTGGGAATTGACTGCAGGACTTCAACAGGACTGGAGGAAAAATAGACTCCACTCTTGGAGGGCACAGACAAAGTATTGTGCGCATCGGGACCCAGGGGAAGGAGCAGTGACCCCAGGGGAGACTGAACCAGACCTACCTGCTAGTGTCGGAGGGTCTCCTGCAGAGGCAGGGAGTGGCTGTGGCTCACCGTGGGGACAAGGACACTTGCAGCAGAAGTTCTGGGAAGTACTCCTTGGCCTGAGCCCTCCCAGAGTCTGTCATTAGCCCCACAAAAGAGCCCAGGTAGGCTCCAGTGTTGGGTTACCTCAGGCCAAACAATGAACAGGGAGGGAACCCAGCCCCACCCATCAACAGTCAAGTGGATTAAAGTTTTACTGAGCTCTGCCCACCAGAGCAACAGTCAGCTCTACCCACCACCAGTCCCTCCCATCAGGAAACTTACACAAGCCTCTTAGATAGCCTCATCCACCAGAGGGCAGAGAGCAGAAGCAAGAAGAACTACAATCCTGCAGCCTGCGGAACAAAAACCACATTCACAGAAAGGTAGACAATATGAAAAGGCTGAGAGCTATGTACCAGATGAAGGAACAAGATAAAACCCCAGAAAAACAACTACATGAAGTAGAGATAGGCAACCTTCCAGAAAAAGAATTCAGAATAATGATAGTGAAGATTATCCAGGACCTCGGAAAAAGAGTGGAGGCAAAGATCGAGAAGATGCAAGAAATGTTTAACAAAGACCTAGAAGAATTAAAGAACAAACAAACAGAGATGAACAATACAATAACTGAAATGAAAACTACACTAGAAGGAACCAATAGCAGAATAACTGAGGCAGAAGAACAGATAAGTGACCTGGAAGACAGAATGGTGGAATTCACTGCTTCGGAACAGAATAAAGAAAAAAGAATGCAAAGAAATGAAGACAGCCTAAGAGACCTCTGGGACAACATTAAACACAACAACATCCACATTATAGAGAAGAGAGAGAGAAAGGACCTGAGAAAATATTTGAAGAGATTATAGTTGAAAACTTCCCTAACATGGGAAAGGAAATAGCCACCCATGTCTAGGAAGCGCAGTGAGTCCCATACAGGATAAACCCAAGGAGAAACATGCTGAGACACATAGTAATCAAACTGGCAAAAATTAAAGATAAAGAAAAATTATTGAAAGCAGCAAGGGAAAAACGACAAATAACATACAAGAGAACTCCCATAAGGTGAACAGCTGATTTCTCAGCAGAAACTGTACAAGCCACAAGGGAGTGGCATGATATACTTAAAGTGATGAAAGGGAAGAAACTACAACCAAGATTACTCTACCCGGCAAGGATCTCATTCAGATTCATTGGAGAAATCAAAAGGTTTACAGAAAAGCAAAAGCTAAGAGAATTCAGCATCACCAAACCAGCTCTACAACAAATGCTAAAGGAACTTCTCTAAGTGGGAAACACAAGAAAAGAAAATGACCTACAAAAACAAACCCAAAACAATTAAGAAAATGGTCATAGGAACATACATATTGATAATTACCTTAAACGTGAATGAATTAAATGCCCTAACCAAAAGACACAGGCTTGCTGAATGGATACAAAAACAAGACCCATTGCAGGGCAGAAGTTGAGACACAGATGTAGAGAACAGACGTATGGACAACAAGGGGGGAAAACTGTGGTGGAGTGGGGATGGTGGTGTGCTGAATTGGGTGATT